CCCCCCCCCCCCCCCCGCCATGTTTTTATATCTGATTTGCTCAGAAGTAAATCCTGCAGCTTCTCCTACTTTCCAGCTGTTCAGTGCTTTTCATGCTACCTCCTAGACTGCATATTTAAGAGAGCACAGGGGAGATGATACTTAGGAACTGAGAGAAGGAAAGACAGTGAATGGCTTGAAACAGTAAACAGTGAGCATTTCAACAGCCAAGAAAGTAAAATTGTGAGACGGAGGACAGAATGGTTGAAGATGAAGCCTCTTGTCTTCAGTCTTTCTTCTCCCAGCAACACATTTGCTTCCTATAGCCGTGTCTGGATCGAACTAATGGTAACATATCTCCAAATGATTTCAGAATAGCCCTACTTAATGAGAAGGAGTATTTCCAGTTTCTCGTTAGGATTCTCAAGAAACCTATGGCACACCTTGAGCAAAACCTGACTCCATAATAAAATCACAGAAGCAGACACTTTTGGCCAGCTTGAGGGACTGGGGGTGGGGTGGTGGGAATGAGTCCTTCTGCCTGTATCCAGACACTCCAGCCTCAGAGCATGAAAATCTTGAGCGGCAAAGGAGGACAGAGGTAAGGGAAACACTGCTGCAAATGTAACACTCTCCAGTTACAAACGTTCCTTCTTTCCATGCTGCTTCAGCTGTTAAATTTTCATCTCTCCACAGATGCTGAAATATACCCACAAATTAGAGACTTCTATACCTCAGCTTAAACTAATATATAAAGGGGAACATTTTTACAAGTTAAATGAATAGGTAGAGTCTGTGCAAATGCTGATCTCTAGATAGGATAACATCATAAACACTGGGAAATAAAATTAATGGTTGAATGATAACAGTACTAAACTCCCAAGAATAATAATCAGATGTAGATGTTTAACTGCCTGTGACCGAGGACGCCTATCTCTTGTTATAACTCACCTCCCTACAGAGTACACGCCTCCTTCTAAATATAAATATTTGAAATTATGATTCATGTGTACTCGAATATAATAAAAAGTGCAGGAATTAAAGGCTTGATTCTTAAAAAATGGAATGACTGGAAAGCATATTTTAATCCTAAAACCAGAGAAGCTTCTTTATACCAATTTTTGTTTGCAGTCCTGTCAATTTTGTTTAGTGTTCTTGAAACTATAAATGGAATAGTAAGAGTTAGCTCTGAAAAAGCAGTAATTCCAAAATTTCTTAAGAGAAGTTAATTATTTCTTAACTGGTGTAGGAGTGGTAGGTAAATATAAAAGGTATTTGGGGGATTTTTCATCCTGTTTTCTTCTTTCTGAGTGAAATCTACTGAATCTGCAACCTCTGCTACAGATACCCAGTTTGTAAAATTTGGAAATAATAATACAACTTTTAAAAAGGAGAATTTTTAAAGTCGGGAATAAAATACCAAATTAGAACACCTTCTGTTGACCTGTCACTACTCAGTTATTTTTCCAGAAACAAATGACCCTAAAATCACCAAAACAATGTTGCAAATTCTTTAATAACCCTCACTCTCTTTTGTTTAGGAACTGCAAATGGACAAGAAACTGGCATCACTTCTCTACATCTCGTTAAGATAATGATGTTTGTTTAACAAACTTAAAATTTAGTTTTACTTCAGATAGGTGTGTTTCTTTTGGTTTTTTGTTTGTTTGTTTGTTTGTTTTTTGGGGGGGACAGTTTGCTAAATTAGATATTTCCTAGGATTTCTTAATAGCATGTGTTGCGTAACATACACACTACCTGTAATCTTCAGTGATGTATAAAGAATACTGACTTATTCCATATTCTTTATATCAATTAAAACAGAGAAAAGTGGCCTTAGTTAAGGTGCCAACCTTGGCTTTGAAATAGCTGCCTTCTGTTCCTTATTATGTCAGATTCTTCAGTAATTGCCATGTCATACTGTATTGTGAAGGTAAATATTATAGATGTGGTGTGCTCAGCTACTGTAGTAAAGAAAAATAAGATGGGCAGCACTTCATAAAGGACAAATGACTTACTACATGTTAAAGCAGAGTGACCATAGGCCTTCGTTTCTGAGCATTTTCTGCAAGATATGGAACAGTATTTACTGTTTTAAGAAATTTCCACTTTGTGGGAACTCATAGTGTTGTCAGTTTTTCTCTTAGGAAATCTGTTCTCATTTAGTGGATTCTACTCCAAAGCTATAGTCAAAGAAAGCAGGAGAATCCACTAGAGCTGTGAAACAGAAGTACAGTCACATGTGTGCTCCTGGATGATCTACATGCCCAGGAGCTTTATGAAGACCATTGTTACAGTGGGAGCCAGATTGGAACCTATGGACGTAAGCATTTGGATCAGTGAAATAATACATTTAATATTCTTCATCAATGGTAAATTTCTTCTAGGTGTGGTGAGACACTTAGGTTCTGAATTCAGTATATCCTTGCTGTTGCAAATTAATAAAGTGACTGAAAAAAAAAAAAATAAATCAGTCTTGTACTCTTTCTCGCTTACACTTTCATTGGCTTTCAGCCAACGGACAGTTTGGTATAATGTGACGTTACTTTCCCTATCACTTTATTTACTGTTGATTCTGAGGAGACAAGATACTTGCCCAGTTTTACAAAAGCCATTTGGAATCTTTGGATATAAGAGAAGAATTGAAATCTTACCTGTTCAATCAGCAAGACTGTTGCCACCAACTTTGGTAAGGCCTGCAGTTCATCCAAAGTAGTAAGGATAAAAATATGCTTATATTTGCACCTTACCGATTACCTTTTGTTGGCATTTTTGTCAAAAGTTACAGGAGAATATCAAGAAAAAAAATAAAGAAAAAAAGAAAAATAAAGAAATGGAGGAGGGGGGTGTGAATAGGTTGAGTGAGATAGGAGCTTCAGCTGCAAGGGCGAACTTCCAATATTACTAAAATACAGTACAAAACCAAGGACATTTTGTATTACTGTGGTTTTAAAAAACAGCTATGATTTTTCAGTTGAAATGATCCCTTATCAAATATAGTGTTGTAAAACAAATTTCTGTGTATATCAGTAAATATGTATTTAAGGTAAAAAAACCCCAAACTAAAGGGTGTGGATGAAAAAACCTCACAACTTCAGTGATTTTCGACATCACATGTAAGTGATTTATTACTTTCTGAAGGCTTAAACACGGCAAAGCTACCTAAAAGAAAATGTTGCATCTTTAATGAAATGTACTTACGAGCTTAGGAATGACTAGTGTCCTGTTCCAAACAACTACGAAACAAGGCAAACTGAGAACTGGCAAACTTTGTCTGCTATATATTGAAGGTAACTAGAATAACTGATAAATATTCTGTTACCTGCAGAAATCATTGGAATGATATGACAACAAACATCACCTCGAAGTTATTTGAAAATGGCAAATTCGGACTACAATTTTTATGGTCTTTTTATTCAGAAGACGACACGATTTCTCCATTTATAATAACATAAGGAACTGTAGAAATGTCGATCTATAAAATATCACTGTGGTGTAAAATATACATAACTAAAGGTAGTTTCACCTTTTAAACCACAGAATTAAGCAAGTCTTTGTAAAATCAGCATCTATGTCATGGAAAAATCTGTTTATCTCCAACTATCGTTTTCCGAGTCCCAGAAAACTGCGGCGAAAGCAAAGATGACACAGGGCCACAGGAAATCCTAGTAATTTTTTTTGCCCACGTCACTTAAAACACTTTTCCCCGCTATCTACCCAGCTTTGCTACCGAGAGCATCGCACGTGTCCTGGCACCTCTCGCTCCTGCGGCACCACGTTGCCCAGTTCCTGCTGCCCCCGGCCCCGGGTCCCCGCCCGCGCCGGGGGAAGCTGCACTTAATGGTGGCTCCAGGAAGGGCACATCTGCTCGGGGAGAGCGCGCTGCTCCCGGCAGCCCGCCCGGAGGGAGGGAGCAAGGGAGGGAAGGGAGCTGCGGGCCTTGGCCGGTGCCGCCGCCGCCCCGCCCCGGGGTGCCCACCTGGGACCCGCGAGTGGCGGGCGTG